CGCCTCACGTGGGTCGCGGGGCGGGGCAAGCCTCTTCAGGAGGAATCGCTTACCCGAAGGCACGTAGTCCTCGTCCTCCTCTGAGGAGGAGAAGTCTTCCGAGTCGAATTCCTCCATATCGCTGCCACGCGGGGGGAGCCAAGCCACAGGACCGCAGCGGCTGACCCCAACGCAAAGCTCTGGGGATAGACCAAAAAGTAGAAGCGGGGGCAGCGGCGGTTGGGGCGAGCCCCCGCTGCGTGTGCACATGCGCAGAGAGTGTACGTGATAGTAACGCGACACTTCCGGGCCAATCCCGTGGCAGTTATCCCAGCACGGGCTCGGTGACGAAGCGATGCGTACTGGGACTTGTAGTCTTCGGTGCTACATAGCCTCGTTAATTTAGTAAATGTGCTTTACATAAAATTACATATCTATGGGAATACAGTTGACCCTCACTATTCACAGGTTGGTATTTTCGTATTCGTTTACTTGCTAAAATCTATTGTAACCCCAAAATCAAAATTAGCGGTGCTTTCTGGGATTATTTGCAGACATGCACAGAGGGTGACAATTATGAGTCGATGCATTTTACCAGCTAAGAATGAGCAAGGCAGACGATCAGATTTTTGGTTCAGCTCTCATACTGTGTATAAGTGTACTTTTTGCAGTCTATTTAGTGCCACATGGGTTTTGTTTGTTTGTTTTGCTCCCACCATCCCTGCTGTGCTGGCCAGCTGTGAGCCCCGCTTCTGGCTGAGTGGGGCTCCCCTGGGGGAGCGCACTGCCCACCAGGGGGCAGCTCCTGTGTTGAGCAGCTGCCCCCTGGTGGTCAATGCGCATCATAGCACTGGTGGTTCTGGTCGTCCACTGTAATGACCGCTTAGGCTTTTATTTGATGGATAGGAGTGTTAGATAAGCTTTGTTCAGGCATAAGTTGTAGCGCTGTTGGCTGTGAGTTCAATGTTAATGAATCAATAGTAAGATTCTAGTTAATGTTTTTATAAAACTTTAAATACTTAATCTTTACCGTTTTTCATGATTTTATTTGCATTACAGTATACAGTATATGTTCAGAGTACTGTGTATGTTTACAGTATGTGAATTTTGCATTGTATGTTATACTGTGTGTATTATATATGTACTGTATGTGTGTGTGACTGAGGGAGAGTTAAACTGTATTGTAGTGCATTACACAAAAATTCTGTAATTGGAATAATTGTTTCATTGTGAAGAAATACAGCAAATAGTCTTAGCCCGCGTCGGCCTGTGGACTGAAGAGTCCAGGGGTAGATTTCGGTCAAGGTCACATGCCTGGGTTGCGGGCTGGATCCCCAGTGGGGGCGTGCAGGGGACAGCCAATCAATGATTCTCTCTCATCATTGGTGTTTCTCTCTCTCTCTCCTTCCTCTCTGAAATCAATAAAAAAATATATTAAAACAAACAAAAAACTCTCAAAAAAACAAAGAAATACAGCAAATAATTATTTGTAAGAACATATTAAGGTGTCTTTGAATAGAAACACACATAAAACATTGTGTATTGATCAGTTGACAAAAATGTCATCAAAGACTCACAGGAACCCAACTCCACTTTTCCCCCAACAGTGGTTCAGTATTCACTAATTGAGTGTGTGATGACTTTATAGACATAACTACCAAGAACAATATTCTACAATTCAGACATCATCCACATGAATCCTTCCTTCAAGTTAATCCATATGGAAGTGCAACCATATAAAGTTTAACATTTAATCAGACTAAATTTTTTGTTTGATTATAATCCAATATGCAAATGAGACATAGACAACTAATATCCTGTTTGTTCAGGTTTAGGTTTTGTTTTTTGTTTGATTATAATCCAATATGCAAATGAGACAGACAACTAATATCCTGTTTGTTCAGGTTTAGGTTTTTTTTGTTTTTCACCTTAAAATTGCTCCTTTTTGATACTCTGTACTGGATCTATTATCCAGTCCTAGAGTTACCTAAATCAAGGCATAGATGAAACACGTCTGTGCTTTATGCCAGCAAACTTTTAAAAAGCCTAATTGAAACATAATTCACACACCATAAAATTTACCCATTTAAAATGCACGATTCGTAGTTTTGGGAGTCACAGATTTATGCAATCATCACCATAATCAATTCTGGAACATTTGCATCACCCCAAAAGGAACCTCTTATCCATTAGTCACTCCTCATTTCTCCCCAATCCTCAGCCTCAGGCTAATCCTTTTTTTCTCTATAGATTTGCCTATTCTGGATATAAATGGAATTATATATGCGGTCTTTTGTGACTATCTTCTTTCACTTAGCACATTTCAAAGTTCACTTGTCTTACATACATATGGAATTGCTTGATCATATAGTACTTGTGACTTACCTTTTGAGGAACTGCCAAACTGTTTCCCAAAGCAGCTGCACCATTTTATATTCTCACCAGCAGTGTATGAAGGTTCCAATTTCTCCACATCCTTGCCAACATTTGTTTTTATTATAACATCCTAGTGGGTGTGAAGTGGCATTTTCATTGTAGTTTTGACTTCTACTTCCCTGATGACTAATGATGTTAAGCATCTTTTCATGTCTTATTGCCCATGCTATGTTCTTTGAAGAAGTGTCTATTCAGATCCTTTGCCTATTTTAAAATTGGGCTATTTTATTGTTGAGTTGTAAGGTTTTTTGTTTTGTTGTTTTTAAAAAAATATATTTCTTTATTGATTTAAGAGAGGAAGGGAGAGGGAGGAAGAGATAGAAACATCAATGATGAGAGAGAATCATTGATTGGCTGCCTTCTGCACTACTGGGGATCAAGCCTGCAATCCGGGCATGTGCCCTTGGCCGGAATCGAACCCGGTACCTTTCAGTCCACAGGCCGACGCTCTATCCACTGAGCCAAACCAGCTAGGGCGAGTTGTAAGTTTTTATATATTCTAAATATCAGTCTCTTATAAAATATAGGACTTGAAAATATTTCCTCCTATTCTGTAGTGTCTTTTCACTTTCTTGATGGCATCCTTGGAAGCATAAAAGTTTTACATTTTGATGAAGTCCAATTTATCTAGTTTTGGCTTTTGTTCCTTGTGCTTTTGGGAGTGTATCTAAAAAGGCTTTGACTAACCCAAGAGCACAAAATTTACTTGTTTTCTTCTAAGAGTTTTATAGTTTTAATTCTTACATTTAGGTCTATTACCCACTTCAGCAGATCTTTCTTATGGGCGAATAATAGAAAAATAGATATGAAATTAGGATCCAGTATTTGGGAGTTTATCATTCTTACCATACTTTTCCTTAACAGTTGAAGGGACCCTGCAGTGACAAACTGGGATGTAGTTGTTTGCCCCATCACTGGGATCTGAGTCTGGGGAAAAGGATACATTGGACTTCTCCAGCATCATCCCATTTCTCTCAGTCTCCTCTTTAGCCCATCAAGATTCTATACATTAGTTCAAATTCACAACCAAAGTTTCCAACCACATTAAGGGTGACCAGGGGAGGAACTATTTTTTATTATGTCACATAGTTTAGTAAAGAGGTCAAATATTAGTTAGCAGGCCAAATCCAGCTTAAAGACATGTAATATTTGACCTGAAAAGATTTTACATGAATTTAAATTAAGTTGCCAGCACTTACAAACTGAGGGATTTCAAATAATCTAGATTTCCAACTTCCCTTGAAAAACTGGAGAGCGTGTCAACTCTGGGCTCATATTCTCACAAAGTAGAAATCGCCTGGAACTGAGCAATGGCTTTAGGCGGGGCTCTCCAGTGGCCACAATACAAATCCCAACTCCCTACAAGATTCCTGGTTAATTACTACATTATCTTGGCAATAATTTTCAGGGTCCTCTCTGCCAAACTCAGCACCTTTAGCCCTTCACCCGCCATGGTCTCTTTGCACTATCCAATCTTCAGTTATCACCCTTTTGAAAAATTGAAAGTTTTTCCTCTGTTGGGTCCTGGATACATACAATCTTTTTTTGAAATATATTTTTATTTATTTCAGAGAGGAAGGGAGAGGGAGAAATGGAAACATCAATGATGAGAATCATTGATCGGCTACCTCCTGCACTACCCTTACTCGGGTACAAGACTGTAACCCCGGCATTTAATTCCCTGATCAGGAATTAAATCGTGACCTCTTGATTCATGGGTCGATGCTCAACCATTGAGCCACTCTGGCTGGGCAGATCTTGAGGGCTTTTGGCTGAATTCTGCATGTATCCTTCTGGGATGCTAAAAACATTCTGTATCGTGATCTAAGCCAGTCACTTAAATGTATAAATATGTAAAAATTCATCAAGCTAAGCATTTGTGCACTTTACTGTATATTGTACCTCAAAAAAAAAAAAAAAAAGAGAGAATGGATAGGCATTCTCTTGCCAGACATAGTATGTCTGCCTACAATGCCTGGAACTGTAGCGGTCATCTCGTGACCATGGGGTAAGATGCCCAAGCTGGACAACCCAATTTGCTAAACATGGCAGAGCAAAAAAAGATTTATGATGTCACAGAAAGTACTAAACTAACCTTGGAGTCTCTCTTCATGTAGACTTACTAGTGAAATAAAAATTTCCCCACTATCAGCTTTCCGCCATTTCAGTGTATAATCATACAAAGGCTTGTTGATGGTAATATATAGCCCACAAAGTGGAGTTAATAAGACTCAAGTTCACATGTAAGTACAGTTTAATCACATCTTTGAACAAGAGTTTTACCGTAAATAAGAAGTTGAACATAAAAGAAATATAGCTAAACATGTTATGTACTGTTATAAAGACAAACAAGAACTGCCCTAGCTGGTTTGGCTCAGTGGATAGTGTGTCAGCCTGTGAACTGAAGGGTCCCAGGTTCGATTCCGGTCAAGTTTGTGGGCTTGATCCCATTGTGAGGCATGCAGGAGGCAGCCGATCAATAATTCTCTCTCATCAATGATGTTTCTATCTCTCTCTCCCTCTCCCTTCCTCTCTGAAATCAATAAAAATATATTTGAAAAAACAAGAACTTAAATTAGACAACTTTATTACAAAAGATTAAACTCATTGGCAACTGAAAAAGAAATAACAGTTCCAGTTCACAGAACTGAAAGTAATTCTTTATTGATAAACATTTATACCAGAATTAGAAATGTCAGTAGAAAAATACAATTTAAATAATTTTTCATCGTACAAAGATTTGATCATTTTGACTGTAGCAGTTAGTGAAATAATCTAATACAAAAAGTTACGCTGATTTTAGTCACAACCAGCCCAACAGAGTGCACAACAAGAAAT